TTTTTTTTTCTCCTCTTCATCTTCTGGAAGTTCCAAGCCCTCTTTGGTAACCGACACTAAAGTTTTCCCCTCAAATTCCTTCAGCTGCTTAACACAGTACTCATCAATGGGCTCGATCATGTAGATCACTTCTAAGCCGTGCTTCTGGAGCCATTCCACAAAGGCAGAGTTAGCTACCTGGTCCTTGGTTTCACCTGTGATGTAATAGATGTGCTTCTGGTTCTCCTTCATCCTAGTACAGTAGTCCTTGAGAGAAACCATCTCATCCCCAGAAGCAGATGTGTAGTAGCGTAGTAGTTCTGAAAGCTTCTTCTGATTCTGAGAGTCTTCATGTATGCCAAGCTTTATGTTTTTAGAAAACTGCTCATAGAACTTCTTGTAGTTCTCCTTATCCTCTGCGAGTTCAGTGAACAACTCTAAGCACTTCTTTACCAAATTCTTTCTGATGACTTTCAAAATTTTGCTCTGCTGTAACATTTCCCGAGAAATATTTAGAGGGAGATCCTCAGAGTCCACCACCCCTCTGATGAAATTCAGATACTCAGAGATCAGCTCCTCACAGTTATCCATGATAAAAACTCTGCGGACATTCAACTTGATGTTGCTCTTCCTCTTTCTGTTTTCAAATAAGTCAAAAGGAGCTCGCCGTGGGACAAAAAGAAGAGCCCTGAATTCCAACTGTCCTTCCACGGAAAAATGCTTCACTGCCAGGTGATCCTCCCAGTCATTGGTGAGACTCTTGTAGAACTCCCTATACTCCTCATTAGTAATATCGTCAGGGTTTCTGGTCCAGATGGGCTTAGTTTTGTTCAGTTCTTCTTGGTCAATATACTTCTCCTTAATTTTCTTCTTCTTCTTCTTGTCACCATCCTTGTTTTCTTCCTCTTCTTCATCAGAATCAACATCTTCTATTTCAGGCTTGTCATCAGACTCCTTTTCTTCTTTTTCTTTGTCTTCCTCTTTGTCCTCCTTTTCTTCAGCCTCATCATCACTCACTTCTTTATCTTGTTCCTTCTCCACAAAAAGAGTAATGGGATAACCAATGAACTGTGAATGCTTCTTCACAATCTCTTTTATTCTTCTTTCTTCCAAGTACTCAGTTTGGTCTTCTTTCAGATGCAAGATAACCTTTGTTCCTCGGCCCATAGGTTCACCCGCGTCTGTCCTCACAGTGAAGAACCCTCCTGCTGAGGACTCCCAGGCATACTGCTCATCATCGTTATGCTTGGTGATCACAGTCACTTTCTCAGCAACCAGGTAAGCAGAGTAGAAACCCACACCGAACTGGCCAATCATGGCGATGTCAGCGCCTGCCTGCAAAGCCTCCATGAAGGCCTTGGTGCCCGACTTGGCTATGGTGCCGAGGTTATTGATCAGGTTGGCCTTGGTCATTCCAATCCCAGTATCCACGATGGTGAGGGTGCGATCTTGCTCGTTCAGAATGAGGTTAATGTGCAGCTCCTTGCCAGAGTCAAGCTTACTGGGATCTGCCAGGCTTTCATACCTGATTTTGTCCAAAGCATCAGACGAATTGGAAATCAACTCCCTCAGGAAAATTTCTTTGTTCGAGTAAAAGGTGTTAATGATCAGGGACATCAGCTGCGCGATCTCCGCCTGAAAGGCGAAGGTCTCCACCTTCTCTTCCTCCATGGGCTGGTCCTGGGTCTGGGTCTCCTTGGACATCTTGGCAGAGTGCTGCGATGACACACACAGTGGCCGCCCAGAGACGCTGAAGCCCGTATTCTTTTTATATCATTTGTATTGACTACTTCTTTCTCATTAATGCCTATTAGTCTTATGTTGTTCATCTTTGCATCGTCTTGCAGATATTCAATTATTTTTTTCCTGCATCCTAGTTGTTTTAAAGAGATCTATTCTTACCTTTCCACTAGCTGCAATGGTGTCTTCAAGGTCTGAAAGTCTATTTTCACTTTCATTCAAACCATTTTGCCAGCTTGTGATTGAGGTTTTAATTTCCTGTATAGAACTTTGAATCTGCTTCATGCATTCTATTTCTTTCCTATATTTCTCATTCAAGGATTCCATCATTTTTCTATTATCTTCTATTATTTTTATCAATATCTTCTTTAAAAGCAATTAGTACTTCTTTCATTACAGTTATCATTTCTTTTTTTACTTCAGAAATTATTTCTGATCTGATTTCCTCTATACCTTTCTGTAGTTGTTTCTTTACTTCAGATGCTATTATTTCAGAGATTTAAGGTGTGTGCTTTCCAATTTCTTCTATGCTATTGTGTCCTACATTTGTTTTGGGTGGGCTCGGGGCCTGAGAATGTATTGTTTCTTTCCTTTGCCATTTTGTATAGCACTGACTTCTGACCTTTGATGTAGAGCTTTGGTAGAGTTATTACCTTAGCATCAGGTCTGGATTTACCGAGTTCAAAGTTGTCTAAATGGGTGTGGCTTGGGTCTGGCTGCTGTGCTCCACTTCTTCCTGCTGCAGCCCTTGGAAGTGAACCCACTGTGCCACTCTGGCAAGATGTTCTCTCCTGGATCAGCTGGGTGGGTCTTGACTCTCACCTCTCTGCAGGGAGTTCTGCCCCAGGGTTCCACACCAGGCCTGCCTGATGGAGGAAGTTCCACACACATGGATGACATGGGTGCTGGCTAGAATCAGGATCCAGAGAATTGACAGGCAGTCCCACTCACATCTGGGCCTGATCACTGGTTGGAGTGAGGATCCAGTGGGCCCTGTGTGGTCCCCCACACAAGCTGGGCCTGGGCTCTGGCTGGAATGAGGACCCAGAGGGCCCCAGGCTGCCCCACTCACACACTGGGCCTGAGTGCTGGCTGGAGTGAGGATCTGGAGGGCCCCCAGCACAATAATCTTTTCAGGTGAGGTCAGCCATACTTTGATCCCATGGAAGTTTGATCTGAAATTCTACAAGGTAAAATTGTGTGAATTTGGGAAATTTACTTAACTCTTCAGTTTTCTCATATGCAAACTATAAATAATAATATGCTATCCTAAGGTTACTATGAACTAAGTGACAGTATGAATGTCACAGGTCTAACAATACAGTTTGTGTCTGTTATTCAGGATCTGGTATTGTAATTGAATCACCTAACTAATTTTGTTTGCTGAATACTGTTCTAGGTGCTGAGAATAGGGCTGTGCATAAAATAATCAGCATCCTTTTACTTACAGACCTTAAATCTGTGGAGAAATCAAAATAAGTAAGTAAAACAGTCTGTAAGAAGCTGACAACTGCTATGGAGCACAGTGAACAGGGAAGGAGTATACAGAGTGCAGGGATTGGAAATGGGGTAGCAGAAGATGGTAACATACAGGGAAAGACCTAAGGGTCTTTGAGATGAAGCAACTAGATGAGGAGGAGCCAGGAGTCATGAAGATATCCAGGGAAGTGTTTTAGGCAGAGAGAATAACAAGATTCCCAGCAAGAATCTGAGAGATCATTGAAGCAATCAGATGAGAGAGGGTGATGACTTAGAAAAGAGTAATATCACGGGATGTTGAATATCATGGTTAGACTCTGTGCATGTTTGAAGTCAGGAGTTTGCGAGTAGAAGCACTCTGGAGCAGGGCTGTTCAGAAAAGCAGGATGGCAGACATTGGAACACTATGAGAGATAAGAAGAGTCACAGGAAACAATGTCAGAGAATCAACAGGGCCAGTTCATGTAAAGCCAGATCATATAGTAGTGCCTGGGATGTAGCAAGTGCTGAATATGTAAAAGGCATTAGTATAACATCACCATCATCACCCTCAACTTATTGAAAGACTTACCCATTGCCAAGCTAAAGAAGAAACTACAGAAAAGGGTTGTTGTAGCTGGGAGATCATTGAAGCAATCAGATGAGAGACGGTGATGACTTAGAGAAGAGTAATATCACAGGATGTTGAACATCATGGTCAGACTCTGTGCATGTTTGAAGTTAGAGCCAGAAGAATTTCTTCATTCAGGTATGAGTTATAAAGAGGATTCAGTGGATGCCTGAGCAATGGGAAAGATTAAGATGATCATAATCTGAGAAGAAGGCCACACAGGGGAAGCATATTCTAGAGATCAGCTGCTCATTTGGAAACACATTACATTTGACATATGTATTGCAGATCCATGTGAACAGGTGAAGTAGGCAGTTGGATATGTAAGTCTAGAGTTCAGAGGAGAGAACCATGCCAGTGTTATATAGATTGTATAAAAAAGCTTGAACTGGATGAGATCACAAAAGAGAAGTGATAGATAAAGAGAATAAAGAACTAAGCTCTGGTGCACTCCAAGGGAGAAGATAAGCAAATGCATAATGCATTGGAATGAAAGGTAGGTTTATGGCTGCTGGGAGCCAAGAGTGGAGATCAGGTGACGAGCTACTTTGGGGAGATGTTGACAATGTTCTGAAATTAGTGGTGATGATTGCACAATGCTGGGAGTACACAAAATACTACTTAATTAAATATTGCAAAAAGGGTAGCTTTTATCGTATGTGAATTGTACTTCACTTTAATAAAAAGTCAGAGAGAAGAGGAGCAAAGTCCTCTGAATAACTACTACCAAGATAACAATATGTAATGTATTAATCATTGTAACTGTCCTACTAACCTGTTTTGAAACTGTTTCATTGCTATTTTATCTTTTTTCTCTGTATTTGATTCTTTACTTCAAATGCTATGAGTTCAGAGATTTCTTTTTTTATTTCAGAAATTAATTCTGCTCTGAGTTCCTCTACAACTTTCTGCTGTTGCTTATTTACTATCGACACTATTAATTCATACATTTGCACCAAGCTAGTGTCCTCTGCACTTGTTCTGGGTGGGCATTGGGTTTCCTCCATATGTTTCTGCATTTGATTCTTTACTGTAGATGCTATTAATTCAGGGATTTCTTTTTTCATTTCCAATCTGAGTTCCTCTATACCTTTCTGCAGCTATTTCTTTATTTCAGAAGCTATTGATTCATTGATTTCAGCTGTGTACTTCCCAATTTGTTCTGTGTTAGTGTCCTCTGCACTTGTTATGGTGGGCTTGGGGTCTGAGATTGCATTTTGCTCCTTCTCATTGTCATTTTGTATAGCACTGTCTTCTGACCTTTGTTGTAGAGTTTTGGTGCAGTTATAACCTTAGCACCTACTGAAATTCAGGTGCAGATCTACAAAGATTGAATTTATCCAGTTGTGCCTGGCTTGGATTTGGCTGCTGTGCTCAGATCTTTCCTGCTGCTGTCCTTGGGAGTGAACCTGTTGTGCCCCTCTGTCAAGATGTTCTGCTCCTGGACTAGCTGGGTGGTTCTGTCCCCTACTCTCTCTGCAGGGACTGCAGCTGGAGAGTTTCACCCCAGGCCTGTATGCCAGGCCTGAGCTGAGTCTGAAGGGGACAAGGGGGAGTAGGGGAGAGGGGGAAATTTCCCACACATTCACTGGGCCTGGGCTAGGGCTGGATTTGGGGGTCCCGAGAATGTGGCAGAAGTTCTCACTCACTTGGCAGGCATGGGGGGGGCTGCAGAGTGGTGGGGGGAGTCCCAAGGGTGCAGAAGAGGGTCTCACTCACGCTGTGTGCCTAGGTTTGGACTGGACAGGTCCCACGGGCACAGGGTAGCCAAAAACTCTCCCACACATTCTTCTTTTCTCTCATTAAAATGAATTTTAAAAAGTAAATAAAATAATAAAAAAATTTTAAAAAAGGAAACCAAGAAGGAGTGGTCAGGGAGATGAGAAGACAGCCAGGAGCAGACTGTCCTGAAAGGCAAGTGAAAGAAAGGTTTCCGTAGGAGTGTACCAAATGCTGCAGAGCTTCACCCAAGTGGAGGATGAAGCTTGCATCATTGCATTCAGTGCTACAAAGATCACTGATCACCTTGACAGGAGTCATTTAGGTGGAATGGCAGGGGCGACAACCTCACTGAAGTAAGATTGGGAAAAATTATTACTGGTTGCTGTTAGAGAATTAGGGAACCAATTCTTCTTGAAAATTGATGAGGAATTGAGCATCTTTTCAATCTATAAAATGGGTACTATTATAAAAAGATATACATGTAAATGAGTAAACGAGAGAATATTTCTCTTCATAGAAATATTCCATCTAACACATGAGGATGGGATGATCAGATTCTAATGCCATCACTTTGCCAACCACAGTGGAGCACCAATAGCTGCTAACATCACCCAAAGAGACATTCACACAATTCCAGGCTTCCCAATGGAAGTGCACAGGTTCGTGACCTATCTGGTCAGTGACTAGACATATGACTGAGGAACACTGTTCAGATTTATGATAGGTTACTTGGAACAGTTCTATACATTTTGTTGGAAGAATCTCAATGTCTTTTTTGTACAGTATACCTTGTTTATATAGTATGATAATTTTTGCTGATTGTACTGTATAGTAGTTTTATGTTTTGTTATATATTACTGTACTATCTGTAAAGGTTATGCAAACAAAAGCAAAATCATCAAGTTACAGTTTCTTTTGACCATTTCTTTGTTCTGAGTGCATACTATAATGTATATATGGTGTACAATTCCTCATTTAGCAAGCAATTCATTCAGCGCCCTGGTAACAGGACTGTAAGTTAGTTGTCAACCAAGGAATGTAGAAAATACTGCCAAGAATGTGCTCTTGAAAAAAAAAGCCACATCAAATTATATTAGAAAGGACTGGCCAAACAGCTCAGTGGATTAAAGATCCTGCTTAGGCAGACACACGGGCTGAGAGTTCGATCCCCTGGCCTGCCATGCCAGCCCCACCCCCATG